TCTCAACAGACAATTGGACAGGCCAAATCCATTGATATGACAACTTCAAAAAACGTTTTTTCGAAGCTAGAAATCATGCTTTTTTTCAAATTTTTCCAGGGATACTTTGTTTTCTGCTCTCTAGACTCCCAGTCGTGGCTCTAGTGCTCCACCCCTAGAATATAGACCATACTGGGGTTTGGTGACACTTTGTGTTGCTTCAGTCACCTGCTGGTGGCTCACCCCCCCTAAAATTTCTGGCACCACCCCAGTAAAAAATATGAAAATCCGTCTATGATATATAGTAGGGTGTTATTCTGTCTATGATGAGCAGGTATAAGTCATGTTCCATATTTGCCAGGACACGATAAACAGAACTAGCCATTATCTCGATGTGTATCGGGTTGTTGATGTTGTTATAGACGTGTGAATAAGATTATACACAGGTTATCGATTAAGACTATGTAGATCTGATCATTGGTCCTTTTTACCTTTGAAAGAATGACTTGCATGCCATTCGACGTTTTAAACCTGAACTCAATTACGGGACTAAGGCACCAAAAGTAGTTGTGTTCAAGGGCGGGGTGGTTCAAGGAGGCCAGCTCCCCAACGGGTTGAGCCTCCATTGTTAAAAATTGCATATTTATAACCTGGAAAGTTCTTTGCAACTGTAGGGTTGAAATTATGGGGTAATGACCTTAGCAATCCGTTCTTGATTATAACACCATTAGCCATTAGGCAGGGCATTTTTAAACTGTATAACTACTGGGGCATTTACCCTAGTTAGCCCTTTGCTTGCCCCAGTATAGTGAAGCATTATTTTTCTTCAAGTTCTAACTAATTTAGTTTCAGGTTTTTGAATGAATATCTTCTAATTTAGAAAATTAACCGTTGAAAGTTTATTTTGAGTAAATATTATATACCTTTTTCACATATAATATTAATTATATTAATTATCGAATTAGTTCATTCCATAGACGGATTTTCATATTTTTACTGGGGAGGTGCCAGAAATTTTAGGGGGGTGGGGTGAGCCGCGAGCAGGTGACTGAAGCAACACAAAGTATCACCAAACTCCAGTAAGGCCTATATTCTAGGGATGGAGCACTAGAGCCGCGAGTGGGAGTCTAGAGAGCAGAAAACAAAGTATCCCTGGAAAAATTTGAAAAAAATCATGATTTCTAGCTTCGAAAAAACGTTTTTTGAAGTTGTCATATCAATGGATTTGGCCTGTCCAATTGTCTGTTGAGACTTGAGAGAGTTAAAGTTAAATGAACCTGTAAAAGTGTAAATCCAATAGGCCAATACACAATATGCTTTACTTTTATAAAATCATTGACATTGTGTCGTTTGAATCTGAGTGCAATTTATGATGCAACTCTGATGTAAATAATATTTGGGGCATAAAGATTAAATCTAAGCAAGACTATTTTCTAAAAGAATTAAAAACTAAAAATAATGTTCGTAAAATTTCCCAACGTTCCTTGCAAGCAAGCTATTTGCATGACAAGGCACTGCAAACTCTATTCAGGGGAGATAGTAGAGTTTAAAAACTTTACAATTGGTCCAATAAACCAGTGAATGCAAGCAAGGAGCAATTAGTTTCAGAGTAGCCTGTGCTATTTGGGGGGAGGGCGAGGGTGGGAAAAGCTAGGGGGGATGCGAAGGCGAGAGAAAGAGAGCGAGGAAAAATGGAAGGGGCGAGAAAGAAATAGCGCCTGCAGGAAAGCCATATGTTTTCTCATATCTGCCCAAGTCCCGCCCATTAAAAAACAGCCAATCAGTGATTAGACGCAACTTTTTCCAAGTGACAGATCCGGTTTCACAACACTATGCATAATCATAGTTAATGCGCATGTATACTAAGTGTATTTCTATGTTGACGCCAAAAACATTTGTAAAAAAGCAGGTAGAAAAGCGAAATAGGCAAGCGCTAACAATACATGCAGGCTTTGCAACAGCAATCTAAAAGCAGTATGCGAAAGTGAGCCGTCCTTTGAAAATTTGTGTAAGCCGTCAGACAAACAAGACAGTCAGAATTTGATATTAGCGAACGTGTGCGAGTCCATTGGCTTTGAGTTGAATCGAAGCGAAACTTTATCGGATCGAGTGTGTAAACCTTGTAAGGAAAATAAGGAATGCTGCTGAACTATATCAATTTGTAAAGGAAGAACGATAATTAAAGAACAAAACGATACGGTTTCAGACGATCTGAGCAAGAGAAGCAAACGGCAGTTGCCAAAAAATCACACAACGAAATTAAATGTGTGTGTCAAATCTAGTACTGGAAAGTCTTTTCCTCGACACAGAAGAACGAGATTCCCCATCGCAGGACAAGTTGTTAACAACAATGACAGCAACTCGAAGCAACTTTCTCGATCAATTTATAGCGAATAGGCTAAGTTGAAAGTGATTATAGCGTGTAGACTAGCTATAGTGATTATAGTAATTATAGTGATTTAAGCATCCACAGACAAGAAACATTGCCGTTCCATATCTTTTAGCTGGTCTTTAATATAAATTCTATTCAATGGGGATATTACGATAATAGCTGCTTTCCCTGACGTTTGATAATCACTCGCTTGTACGAAAGCTTGGTAAATCAAACTTTTGCAATAACGGGCATAACCTGTCAGCAAAAACATCTTTTCCTTTTAAAAGGTCCCGAACTGCTTTATCTTGCTCCTCTTTCAGTTGAATACAGCGGTCAGTCGCCAACTGAATATCGCTAATCACTTTAGAAAGAACTTCGTCAATACTCCCTTCTGCTAAGGCCGCTATTTTGAACTCATCTAAAACCACAGGAACCACAGGGAATATAATTGGGAAACCCCTGATGACTGATTAGCCAATCAGAATTTCGCGTCTGCCCACGGATGCGAAATATGAGAAAACATATGGCTTTCCTGCAGGCGCTATTTCTTTCTCGCCCCTCCCATTTTTCCTCACTCTCTTTCTCTCGCCTTTGCATCCCTAGTTTCTCCCACCCTCGCCCTCCCCCCTAAATAGCGCAATATTGCACTGTCTTTTTCTATTTGAGTGTACTCCTACGTTTATTTTGTATCATCAACACTGTGCACGTTGGAGTGGACTATTATTATGCCGAATATTGGGGGGGGGGAGGGTTGAAAATTTTTTTGGAGGGGTAGACATTTTGTTGGGGTATAGCTAATATTGGGGGTAACAGCCCTGCACCCCCACACACACGCACACACAAAATCCGTCTATGGTTCATTCTATCCAGACTTTTTTAAACTGCCCTGTATCTTAACGACTAAGTACACGTTAAGTCTTACGTTTGCATCCATTACGCGGCAATAATCATTGGAGTGCCAGTCAGGTATTGCTTTGATATATTGGAACATTTTATTCAAAGTTAAGACCTTTCTTAAAAAAAACATTAATTGAAGAATTGCTAGCTAGAACAAAAAAAAACACTAAAACTTTTCATGCTTATCATGCTGTCCACTGATTGCACCCTCTACGCCTTTTTACCTCCCTGCCCTTTTACCTCCCCGCCCTGCCCCACTTTAAGAGCTCCCCTAGATATCATTTCAGTTTTACATCACTGATGAAAAGACGAATTTCATAATTATTGAACTAATTCTTATAATCCCTCTTCTATATGTTTCTATACAGGGTGTCTGAAAAACCATAGTAGGCCAGACACACTGTGCGATTAACATTTAAATGTTTGGTATACTTAATTACACCCTGCAGTGTCAACCTCATAATAATATAAATGTCAACGATTAGCTCAAAAATATTCTGAATCTTTACACTAAAATGTATCACCAATCAATACTTATCGCTGAAGGAAATACACTTTGGTACATAGCATGTATTAGCAAAAATAAATAGTTTATACCTTTAGTAGAAGCACTTGAATTCCAGCTTTAAAATCAAACCAATCATTTAAATTTTAATAGAACCACTGAACTAGCTGTAGAGAGTGACAGCGTACAGCTAGTTCAGTGGTCATGTCTTTGTGTTAATTCAGTGGCGTCCCCGAACGATAATTGGGGGGAGGCATATTCATATATTCATGCTCTGCTTTATCAATTTCTTTTGAAATCAATTGTTTTTATGGTATGTGAACACGAATATATGAATATTCGGCCCCCCAATTATCGTTCTGGCTACGCCACTGGTTAATTGGTAGAACCTGTAGACACAATTTTGATGTAAATTCTATTCATATTGATATAGGGGCAATGGGGGACGCATTTCGCAACGTTGCGAAGGAAGGAAGAAGAGGCAGGTGAACGATGGAAGGAGTGTGAACGGTGTTTGATTTCATCTACTGTAAAAACTATAAAAGCTATTACACTCAAATAAGTTTAATTGTATTGAGGAAAGGCTAACTTAGATTTTGATATACAGCCCTCAAAATTTCATGTAATATTACATGAGATACAAACGTTTGAATGTAGGGCAAGCTTTAAAAATGAGTAAAAAAATCGAGAAACATGGCTGACCAAATTTATAAGACATAGTACAACAGTGAAATGTCCTGTGCATGCGAATTTAATACTCAGCTCAGAAATCTCGAAAGAAGACTCCTCTACACATGAAAACAAATTGCCATTGATTGTGCTTTTACACAAATGCATAGCATTTGCCGGTCTGATCGTCAAACAATCAAACGACAGATTTTGACCAGCTATAATCTTGGACAAAACCCTTGAGACCATTTCAGCCAATATTACAAAGTTTAGTTATTGAACATTGACAAAACAAACTTTGTCTCCCCCCCCCCCGCCAGTTCAATATTGTGAACAACGCCGAAACAACTTTTGGTAATATACCAGCCTCGTCTCCAGGCGCTTTGATTTGCTGCGCCGTCCCCACCTTGCTTTGGGACCCGCGCGTGTGAGTTGGAGCCTGGGGACGACGTTGATTCAATAAGGAGTTTATTATAACAATATCATGTGAATTTTCTATAGGAGGGAAAAATTCTCAACCAGTTATGTCCAAGATTGTAGCTTGAATTCGGTGCTATGCACTCTATTAACCGAGATATAGACGAGCGTCAGCAACGCTTATTTAAGGACAATGTAATGCATTTACATTGTCCTTAAATAAGCGTTGCTCACGCTCGTCGTATGCCGAGTGCTGATTTCAGGGAGGTAGGTAATCTTTGAGTTTAGCCCTTCGAGTTCAGCCCTTTTCGAGTTAAGCCTCGACTACGCACAAACCAAACCTATTGTCCTCAAGGGCTTAACTCAATGAAAATTGACTGCTTATACGAACTGTTCGTGTCTCATTTTGCCTGCAGTTTATTTAAGCCCAATCCCATTCTCCAAGCCTGCGATCCTCGGGAAGGAACGCGAGGCTCTGGGATAATCCGTTTCAGGGATCTGATTGGCCTGCTCTTTTGCGCACCTCAAATGTCGGGGCTTAACTCGAGGATCGAATATTTTCGATGAAATCAAGTTAAGCCCCTCTTTTTCATGGAGCTTAACTCGAACTTTCCAAATTGTGTTTCTTACTTCGAGTTAAGCCCTTGACGATAATGAGTGTGGTTTGGGTGTGGTCTGGGCTTTACTCGAAAAGGGCTTATAACCGGAGAGGCACTCGGGCTACACCAACACTCATTTCAGGCTACAATACATACTTCGATTCGAAATGCACATTAACGATAACACGTCTGAGGACATATAGGCAGATACAGTTTGTAGGATATTTGGCATTCATCATAATTCTCCTGTTGTTTTCCTTTGTTATATATACAAATCAACATCATGGCGAGAAAGCGAGAAAAATGAAATTTGTTGTGGCATGACGTTGGCTTCAATGTCGCCAGAATATAGTGAAGACGAACAGCCGGCCACCCGAGACGATTCCTCTTCTTCGGATCCCGAAGAAGCCAGCCAAGTGGCAAGGAAAATCATAAAAGTGAAAAGACTATCCTGCAGGAGTGACAAATTTACAAAAATATTGGATTCTCTGGACAGAGAGCAGCTCAGAAAGGTGACCGAAAAGTGTGGTTTTTGGACAAACAATCACAGTGGAGTCTCTAGAAAACATCTCGGATTGGATGAAGAACATTGACGGTTCTCAGGGCTAAGCAACTGAAAGAAACGTTATTGGCATTATTGCTTTTGTTCCTATGACGTTTGTTTCATTTGGTTCTCCTTCATCATACGGCATATTTTTAAAATAGTGCCCGCCTCGTAATTCATGAACGATGAATTAACGATTCCCATTATTACGTTTTTGTAGCGCTTAATGGACCATTTGCATTATAGACTAAATTTTGATCTAGACAAAAATTTCATCACAGCTTGAAAGAGCATCACAAAATTAGTAATATTCCAAAGTTTCATTGCGAAATGTTGTCAAATGCGGATAATATGGCCTTGCGAAATTTGCAATTTTCAGTCATTTTGTATTACAAACGGGAAATTGATGGCCCGACACGCGATTGGGCTGTCAATTTCCCCTGCGTAATACAAAATGACTGAAAAACGGCAAACTTCACAAGGCTATATTATCCCCATTTTACAACATTTCGCAACGAAACTTTGGAATATTACTAATTTTGTGATGCTCTTTCAAGCTGTGATGAAATTTTTGTCTAGATCAAAATTTAGTCTATAATGCAAATGGTCCATTGCATTGTGGTTATAGTGGTATCACTGATAAAGATAGCGGCCTCGAATAAAAATATTGAATCTTTTCCCAAACATTTTGCTATTGGCTATCGTGCACCTGACCCTAGCTTTTTTTAAAAGTTTTTGCACGGGTCAGGACAAAAATAAACCATTTTGAATATCAGTGATACCACCATAACCACAATGCAAAGCACTACGAAAACGTAATAAGGGGAATTATCAATTGAAGACCAAGAATGAAGCTGTTAAGCTCATTCTTCTCTTCATCCTGCTGCTAGGGTGGATCAAACTAGGGTGGATCAAACTAGCGTAAAATATCGATCGCAAGCTCTAACTTTAAATTTTGAAGCACAGAAAAGAGGAATTCTTATCAGTATATTCTGACACTAAATAGGCATATTTCGCATGTAAATGTATTTCACATTTCGTGTGACGCTTTGTTGAAGTATATTATGCTTCTTTCCATGTTTTATGAGTTTTAGCTTGTGGCGACCGTCTCGTTTGATCTATATTAACGAACTAAAGATGCACCAAATGTACGACGCGATTAAAGCAACAGTCCCTAATATCGGAAATCAGTATTTTACTTTGTTTTTCTCGTGTCTCTACCAACAACAATGCATAATTTTTACCAGGCTGCGTGAAGTGAAACTGGGAGAATACGCAAAATAGCGGCAGTGCTAATTTTTCGTCATGTCCGTATCGTAGATTTTGTGAATCTTCTGTCCATGTACGTTCAGCTAAATGTCAATTAATGGACAATTTGCAATATATAGACAGTAATTTTCGATCTGGGCAAAAAAGGTATATTCCCAGAAAGAACACTAAAATTATTAAAATTGCTGCTAAAATTGCTGTAAATGATGCGAAAAATTTACCTTGCAAAATTCGCAAATTTTGTATACTTTTGTTGATAAGGCCTAAATATGGTATAGGCATTTCAAGCCTTATATAGAGGGAAATTTGCAAACCGGGTTTGCAAAACTATATATTTTCCTCATTTTACGACCCTTCGCAACCAAACTTTGTGATTGCAAATTTTAAGATGCTCTTTTTATATCAGCGCTGACAATCAGCGAAGTTATTTTAAGTATGATACTTGTGATTTAATTAGGTATTGCCGGCTATATATCTGTATATTTGGGTCAGGGTGTGTTAAAAATATGATAAATATATATTAATTGTTACGTTATTAAACAAAACCTGAATGGTTTTTAAACCTTGGTCTTATGAATTTGAATCGAGTGGATCACTGACGATCAGAAAAATTCAAAGACTTTTTTGGTACTGCTTTTTTTCATCCTGGCTTCACGTAAAAGTTGCCAGAAAATTTTCGCAAAAGGAGGACTGAATTCTGGCAAGCCATTTTTAGAAACAACCCTAACCCTAATCCTAAATCATGGATCAAGTGAAGACGGATCTTCATAAACCAATTTTGCCATGAATATGCTTCAAATTCGCATTACGGCAAATATTGAAAAAAACAATACATTTGCATCTGCGGCGAATTGAATTACATTTGCATCTGCGGCGAATTCAATTGCAAATTTGAAATCTGCGTCAAATTCACGATAAATTGGCACCACATGCTGACTTACAAATACGCATGATATTTGCAGTGGCTGCAAATATACCTGTCATCGCGGCATTTGCACCATCGCACCCCTTGCAAATACGGTGCGAATTTATAAATTTGCAAGGGTGCAAATATGGCAAAGATGATCAAATATGAAATTTGCATCATATTTGCAGATACATTTGCACCAATGCAAATGTATATTTTCATCCCGTGTCACTGTATGTGCATGACATTTATTGCAGTTACAAGCAGGTTGCATCACAGGCGGCCCAATCTCTGAATGTTGTTCCAAACTCGGGGACTTGAAGAAAATTCAGACTCGTGAAAAACCCGGACCTGGAGTTGAAAAAACCTGGACTCATCTTTGGGAAAACCCAACATGACTTCTGAAAACACAGACTCAAATAGGTAAAAGCGGATTCGAAACAAGGACTGTGAACGAGAATGGAAAGGTTCTTTTGAAAACCGAAAGGTTTAACAATGGTTATTAACATGAGAAACGATCGATGATCTGTTTATATCTTCATTTCTGATTTTGCTCTGGTGTTACTGAACCATATAATCACTTAGACATAGTGGAACCAAATCATTTTAAGCACATGCTGATTAAAAAAGTAGAATGTATTCAGTTATGCATTTGGCCAATATCAAATTTATTAATATTATTAAATTGAATCCACACAACCTTCGAATACTAATGGTTCCTATGAGGATACTATATGATTCCTCACATGAATAATAACTTTGACTTAGATATAGTGGAACCAAATAATTTAGGCAGTAGGCACTTAAAAATCAAATTACCTTTATGGCTTATGCATACTTGTACGAGTAGCTAAATCTACCCTGGATGTCAATTAATAACTAATATCTGTCTCACGATAGCTCTAGTCAGGAATTTCTAGTTGCAACCATGGCAGACAATAGGCAATTCCAGGTTTTAATTCATATGCGCAGGGGGTGACAGGAAGTAAGGTACTCAGGTGCATTAATGCCTGGCTCCAATTTCGTAAGGAGTGGGAAAATAGGAAAAATCTTTAAAAATTAATTAAAAATTAACAAATTACACTATGACTCTCATTTTTGGGTGAGATGTTGGAAATCAACTGCCGATATTTTTCAACTATTTGGTTTCTATGGAAACTGGTCATGTGACAAGATATAGGCGGTGATAATGGAAATTAACTTAATGTTTTAAAACACGGCTTGCGGGCACACTAAACATTCATGGATATGTACAAAATATTATCACGGAATCTTTTACTCATATACTGCAGTGTACTAATTAGAATCTTAAAGATTATGCCACAGATATGAAAATGTTGCTGTGAATACAACAATGTTCGTTTATATATTTAGCAGAATATTCGACACTTGTCTGAGTCTTTATATGAAAGGATATTATATTTCAACAACAACATTTATTGCGCCCTTAAGAGTTTACACTTAAACAGTCACCACCCCAAAAAAGTTTGAAATATCCATATGCTGGGTACTTATTTGTATTTCAAATATTTTTCTGTGCGTAGGAAAATAAAAAGGATACACAAATCGATGTTGAATAATTCAAACATAAAAACCCGCAATAGCGAGCTTTATATATTATATATCAAAGTTCAAAGGTCGCTGCATATCGCATATAATATATTATACTATACAACGGCCAATTGCAGAAGAAAAACTAACAGTTTACTCATCCCTGCTGGTTGCTATAATCTAACATAATCCTAGAGCTCAAATTTATTGAATTTCAGTTTCATTCGAACGCCAAAATACACTCAAATGGCAACACGCTAGATATGTTTAATCGCGCGCAACTCGCGCGGACATATCAAGTCAAGCGTGGGCAGAGCAAAGCAAGAGCCAAGCATTAATTGGCCTGAGTATTAACATTGCTGACCAGTATGCTAAAAATTCAATTAAATATGTATATGTAAATATTATTTCAATATGTAGATATAAGTATAAGCTATCACTCCGTGTTTACACAGCCACCATTTTAATTTTTTCAGCATAATCAGGAATATCATACCTTACCTCCCATCCTCTCTTGCACGACATAAACTAAAAGGTGACACAAGGAACGGGTAAAACCCATTTGCAGGCTAAAAACCGCGAGAGGCCTGCGGCGGAGGCTAAGCAGAAACGTGATGGCAGTAAGGGTAAAATATACCTCCAACACATTCGACCTCAGACAGACAGCAATTATTCATAATTAAAAATTGCAGAGCGACAAGGACTGATGCGCTACTACAGTGGACATAACACGTTTCGTTTTCTGTACTCTGTGCACTCCACTGTTACAACGATAGCGAATCCCTTTAGAATAATTTCAAAGTCCGAATATATTGCCAAAAACCAACCTCAATAAAAAGTATTTGCATTTTAGAAAAGTAATTCAATGGTTCAACCAATCAAAAAGTGGAAAAGCGACACATAATACGTTCACTGCAATGTCGCGGCAACCATGCTTAAATACCGACTGTGAAGTAATTCGATGTCACAACTTGCGCAGCCTTATGTGGCCCACAGTGGAATTCTCGTTTTGTGCATTGGCCGATAAATTTTATATCGAGACTCTCTTCCGTTAGGCAAGGCATGAATCAATTACCCCAAATGCCTTAAGGCGGTTTTCCACTAGGCGGAATTTTCCGCGCAGAGCGGAATCATTTATCTTTGTCTTTTCCGTTATTAAGCCGGTTTTCCACTTGGCGGAATTTTGCGCGCGGAGAGGAATTTTTCTTTGTCTTGTGATTTCTTGGGTGGAACTAATTAGAAAAGACAAAGAAAAATTCCGCTCCGCGCGCAAAATTCCACCTAGTGGAAAACAGGCTTTAGTTCCACCCGAGAAATCACAAGACAAAGAAAAATTCCGCTCCGCGCAAAAAATTCCGCCTAGTGAGTAGTGGAAAACGGGCTTTACGTACAACCGAGGGTTATTACTGAGAACAAAGTTTCACAATGAATTAAGTTACATTGAGAATCAAGTCAATCAACATGCTACCCTCGTAGCAACTGCTACTATAGAAGTATGCATAAATACATTTTAGTTTTCAGTTAAGTGCCTAAATGATCCAGTTCCATGCATATATCTAAGTATTATTTTGTTAACACTAGAAGAAAATATAGAGATGAAGATTTCAAGATACCATCGTTTATCATGTTTATAACTCTAACTTATATCTCATTTGTGTCGGTTTTCTTTGATCGTCCGAGGTTTATAACTAGCTAATATACTTTGAATAAATAATTACATCAAACTTTGCAACAAAACACGAGAATTTTTCATCAAAAATTTTTGACAATGACAAAATATGTTAGAAAACCTCCACAAATGAGATATAAGTTAGTTATAAACCTTGAAAGTCTGTTTATAACTGATATATTGCCCTCGGGCGTCCTCGGGGGCAATATATCAGTTATAAACCTCCCCGGTTTATAACTCTAACTTAATCCTTTGAACAAAGCTTTCAATTCTCGTACACAGAATCCTTGTTTGCAATGTGGTTGTTTGTATTTCATTTTCATACGGCATATCTGGTGTTTTTCATGTGGCATAAGCATGTCTTAAAACTGCGAAATCTACAGTTTATAAGGTGAACCTGCTTTCCCCAATTTGATTATTTATAACTATGCCAGGTACTCAGGTTTCTAATTTGGCACTGTGACTGAAATCTTTCAGTTTGCGCACACTATATAGCATTTTACACGACGGCGCAAAGAAACAACTTTTATATTTGAGTGGTGAAAACAATATTTTACAAACGAGCACAGCGAGTAATATATTGTTTTTAAGAGGAGAAGATAAAAGTCATATCTTCAAGCCAACGAGCATATAAATATAAAGAGTTCTGTGACACTGACAGTTCACACAAACAGAATTGCATGTTTCATCTGTGGTACTTTTTTTACTGCAGTGTGCAGGATACACTTGAGCTAGCCTGCTCGCAGCCCCAACCAAAATGTAGAAACAGAAATTTCCGGTTTTCATCTGAACAATATTTATTCGGGCTGCGAAGCAGACTATATCAGTTCAGCTAAATCCTTAAACATATTTCAGAACAGCATATTACAAATTTTTAGACGAACCAATTCGACAATATCCACAGTAAAGGAACATGCATTGCCAATTGTGTCGCACGTGCATGCAATTTTTAACGCCCACAGGAATGAGCATATGAAGTCATTACGACAGCGCTAACGAGTAGCGCTAACGAGTAGCGCTAACAAGTAGCGCTAATGAGTAGCGCTATAACGGCCCAAACCCTGGCCCAAAGCTCCAAACGGGGCTAACATCGATCGTTGGGCTGCCAGCACTATAAGAGGTAAATTAACACACAATGTAATTTCGATAAATCACCCGATTAAAATTCACTTAAATTTATTCGTGTGCGGTGTCTTGATCAAAATATTTTTTGCCGACCGATTTTTATCGCTGATTAAATCGTTTTGATATTGTTTTATAAAATTGCGTTGTGCGTGCTTGCCTTCGATATATAGGTGTTTAATTCTGCGCTGCGCAATACTAAGGTCAGAGATGAGGGAGAGCTCATAAAAAGGACAGAATAAAGTATAATGAAGAGTCGGTTCCATACCTGTGGGAAGGACAATGACCATCCAGGCGATCACTGCTTCAGCCCAAAACTCCTGCACTTCAATAGCGGCATGGCCCAAACAGAAAGATATTAGGGTAAAAACCCCAAGCAGAACGGTCGTTTCCTGTTGCTTCATACCTTTACCAAAGAGGCGACATGTCTAAAAAAAGAGGAAATGTAGAAAATGTAGGAGGTTAATGAGTGAAGTTAAGGTTTAGCGCAAGCAATGAAGCATGCATGAACGTGGAGGCCCTGTGACACTATCTCGTATGAGAGAAACATATGAGAAGCGTATGAAAAGTAATTAAATAATTTTCATATGCAACAAAATGACAAAAATCCTTTGAAATGCCAGTGTAAGAGTACCGTACATCTGAGGCACCTCTAGCATATTAATTAGCGTGTGCCTAGAGCATAAACCATACGTCCGAATTTTTAAAAAGTAATGTCTCGCAGGGCCTCACCGTATTGGCATGCGACCGTGCTTGAAATGTATAAAACCTATGCCTAACGTATCCCAACCGTATGTCAGCGTATACCAGCATATACAAGGGATATTTTTATAGGCTAGTACGATTTGCAATAGTGTGACAGGGTCTTTAAAAGGGTGAATTAATGGTGTAGCCAGTGCGTACATAACATATAGGCAAACGTATAGGATAATTAACTTGGGATATGAAGACTTTTGAAATGAAGCATTTATATAGAGTAAGCGACGTGAATAAAATGTTTAAATATAAGATTGACTTACCAGTTGCATAGTACTTAAACAGAGACCAGTCGATGTCGTGACCATAAGCCGATTTCAAAGCGTTGTCCAACAACTGTATGCGGTTAGACATAGTTGTTTTAAAAAGCAATGCTTTAAAGTTACGACAGAGAGAGTATTGTGTAAGTCAACCAGTACGAAGAAACTCTGTGCAGAATGAGGGCGGTAAGGACGCTATACATTTGAATACGATGCTGTTAGGGGGCTTTCATTTATTAGAGCATAGGGGGGGTTGGCAAAATTTAAAGGTAGATTTGTAATTTTTTGCAAACCCCCCCCCTCCATTCTATGTCAAAATTGAGTAACCCCCCCCCATACCATATCTAAACTTTTATTAACAACTCCACCTCCCCCCCCCCAACTTGAAATAAGAAACACCGTGAACTTTTCAAATAGCATGAACTTTGAACTACTATTTTATATATACAACATATTTAAAACTTTTAAAATGAAATATATTAAAACATGGATTGTTAAATTTAAATCTGAACTTTAATAAACATGCAATGTAGCATTGGTTTCATACTATTTAATAATAAAATCAATGAGATATGTCACTTCAGATGTCATTTACATCGTCGTCATCATCGTCATCATCGTCATCATCGTCATCATCGTCATCATCATCATCATCATCATCATCATCATCATCATCACCATCATCATCACCATCACCATCACCATCACCATCATCATCATCATCATCATCACCATCATCATCATCAGAGATGACAGCCCCAGTATAGTCACAGAGCCACTCCTCTAGTTTTTGTCTCAAAACATTTCTTGCCCCTTGATCCAAATCATCATTTTCTAAAATGTATTTCAGTCCATGCAAGTGATGTTTTATTTTTAATTTATTCAATTCGATACTGTTGATATCATTATTGGTCCACTGCAAAGAATCAGATATTTTCACATGTTGTCGAATTTGTTTGGCACTTTTCACTGCTCTTTTGTGTTTTGCAACTCTGGCCTTGTGTTTGCCCTCCTTTTTCTTTCTACTGTTAGTTGATTTCGACCTACTTTGCACTGTAAGCACAAAGACTTTCCTCAAATGTGCCAAAGTGGCCTCCAGTTTTTGCAAATTCACTCCCACTTTCTCATCTAGCAACCTGAGGTTCTGCAAATGGCTTTGATAATTGGAAATTTGTTCGTTCATATTTTTTGTGGCCTTCATATCAGAACCAAAACAGTTGCCAAGTAAGCCTTTGCTCTCTGTTATTTCCTTTTCAATTTCATCTTTCAAACGTTTTGTATTACAAATTCCCTTTTCACAGTGATCTACATGGGTCAGACGAGGAATAGCTGGTTTGTCAAGAAAATTGAAATAACCACCTGAGTATTCAGAATTGAACATAGCATTAAACTTGCCTGAAAACTTCTCGAAAGTTTGTAGTCGTTGCCACCTGGCTTCTCGTTCTTTTCTTATATAGCTAGCCTGTTGATGTGCAGACAAAAATTTTCCGTAATTGTCATAAAGTTTTGGAGTGATTTCGTTAAAAAACTTTGTTTTTGGCCACTTTGGATTCCTGTACATGTACTCGTCATAGACTCATAGGGTTTTCTCACCTTTGTGTCCGGTGTTGTTTTCGGTTTGGAAGTCTGACCAAAGTTGAGGGTAGATTGCTTTTGTTTTGCTGGGTTTGATTTTGGCAGCCCCTGTCCTACTGCTTCCGTAGCATTTTGTAACGCTCTCAGTTTGGAAATACAATCTAGTAAATCGAGTTGGTCACCAAAGCTGTCAATCCCAATTCGAGCAAGCTGCTCCTCAGATTTCAGTAAGCAAAGCCTCTGCAGTGTGTTGATTTTGTTCCTACAGAAATTTTCACGAAACTGGGAAAACCTGTTATCTTCCAACCACTTCAAAAATTCTATTTGCTCAGGCGGAACAGAATTCTCATTGTCCGCCATATTGAATATTCATTATATGAGCACAAAGAAGTAAAATTCCTTCCTCATTTGGTAAAAATTTCCTTTTTATCGAAAAATGTCTTTCAGAATTTCGGGCAAAATCCTTGGTTGTTAATATCGTTCGTGCATGACTATGTATTTTTCCTTCATTTTGATCCTAATCCCAACCCTATTATAAACCTTCTGTGCGCGAAGAATACGATACGAATATAATGAAACTTAATTTCTATCCCATATCTCAGAATGCCAAGATTTCCTTCACCGAGGAATTTTTCGTGTGTACACGTGACTTGATTGGGAGCATTAAAGTTTTTTAATATTTTACACTTTGAAAACAATTAAAATTTGGATATATTAAAAATGGCAAACAGCGTACAAACAATAGGTCACAAGCTCGGAAGGTCAGAGACAAGGAAATATTCTACCCATCCAGACAATCCTGAAATAAAAGTATCTCTCTGTCCTTGCAATGATCCTTTTGTAAACCTGGAAAGGCTAAATTCGTTTGAATATGAGTGGACAAGGAAAGAAAGAAGTACGCGACCTGAATATAAACTACAAAGATTGCTGGGATTGAGGGACGTACTTAATCATCTCCTGATGCCAAGAGGACACTTCCCAGATTACTTGGAAGCAGACAAAGAAACTCGATTTGCTGTTATAGGTTTCTTGACATTTAAGGATGCCTTTCAATTATACTCTTCGCAAATATTATTTGAACAAGTTGATGAAAGTAGATTCACTCTTGACATCCTGGATGAACAGATCGGACTTTCAGTGAACATTGTCAAGATAGTAAATGTTAGATACATAGTTCTTAAGAACATAG